AAGACAAAGGACATTTGCTCTAGAGAAACAAGACCTGGATAAACAACCAACACCGGCTTGCGCGCCTCATTATGAAAAGCTAACCATTTTACATCTTGGACTATAGAAGATTGTTTCAAATGGTTCTTGATCATGCATAGATAGAGGAATCTCTTTGCATGGTAACGATAATTTAAGTAGTCTTTTTCATGGAAGCACTCCTGCAACAAAAAGAACTATCTAATGTTACCAACTAATTGGAAGTTCTTTACAACATAGTAAGAATTTTATAGAATTTGTGGTAACTTTAAACTTCTTCGAAACTCCATGACACGACCTATACATGAAAATGTAGCATGTAAGCAACCTAAAATCATTAAGCTTTCATTCTTAAGCAACGACACAAAATATTATTTGCTTGTCGAGATTTGAAAGGGCTATTCCATTATATTTACCTTAATTCTTCAATATTTGAACTGAAAAGAAAAATCACAAGGCCTTATCATAATAGTTGTGTGTTTTAATCAATGGAATATATCGATGATTACTTCGGTTTCAAGCCTCAAATTTACATTTCGGTTCAAAAAAAGTTTCCACACCTGTTTGTAAAATTGTTATTTGATCTAGCTTGAACAGGCTTCAATCAAACTTTGCACAGATTGGGCTCAGGTAGTTAATATTTTCAAATAAAATTCACTATTTGTACACAATTAATTCAAGCTCAATCCTAGCATCACATTTTATGAAATTAAAGAAACCTTCAGGCTTGGTTTGTAACTCAATAAACCATGACCAAACAAGTCTTTTATGATGATTTTTGAATCGAGTATAGAGCGATTTGGTTCAAATTGGGTTCTACAACTGGCACCAGCCACCATGCCAGAAACATATATAATACTTCTAGGCCATCCATGATTATAAATCACTTTATATTCAGAAGACCATTCCTGTTATTATTCACAAAAATTATCAAGGGACATCAATGTTTCGCACTTATTCAATATAAAAACTGAACAGAAATGAATACGTAACATGGATGGAGGACCAGAAATTTGTTGGTGACTCGAGCAACATATATCACCTTAAATCCTGCTCAAGGCATCTTCCCGTTAACCAAAAGATAACAAGAATTCATTCAACTTTCTCATGTAGCCATATTAACACAACAGCACTTACAAATGTCGGCCCCCGAAAAGAACAACATTTCTACACCTCCAAATTTAGTACATAGTTTAATGTTAGCAATGATTGCACATCCACCCAACACCTTAAAAAGATTATGGCTCCAAAATTTTATCTTGCTCAAGTGAAATCGAACATTGGACGAAGTACCTTCGGGAGCCTCAAGAAAAGATCTATGTTCACATCCGGCCTGACCGCACACTGAATTGAATAACTCCCCCCAATTTCTAAGGACTTGGGCGTCCTAAACTTAAACTCCACTTTATCCGCGCCAATATCTCGAACAAAACCGGGTGCAACATCAGCATTAACCTACCAATGAAAATGGAAAACGCATTAGCAAACATAATCATCCAAAAATATAGTTTTCTCAGCGTTCAGTAATCAAGCGGATAAAACACAATTTGACAACGAACAAAACAAAAAGGATTAAAAAAAATAAAAGGAGAGAGGGCAGCTCGCGGAATATGCCTGGAGGCCTTCTGGGATATTGCTGATGGCTTCTCTAATGGAGGAAACTACATTGTTGACGATTGCAGTATTTACAGCTGAGTAATCTAGCTGAACCTCTTTTAACAGCTCTTGCAACTTCAGGTTCGTGGAATCCGGGTACGTTTCAGAACCCGACGCCATAGTCTTAAGCTTTTCCGAGCTACAATTATGTTGCTGAGCGTGTGGCGGGGGAGTGTGGTGATGTTTGCTAAACCCTCAAACGGAGATTTCTTCTGTCGCCTTAAACCTTAGACTGGAAATTGGATGGGTTATTGGATGGGCTATTAGATGGGCCACACCCATCTAGAAGATTGGGTTCTAATTAATTTGGGATTGTAGCCTTATGGGTCGTTTACTTTGCGGTATGGGATAAGACAATTTAATCAATAGTACTTTCCATGTCAGCATTTAGTCTCTCATTTACTTTTTGTGATGGAATTTGCATTAACGTATCCCTCATTTACTTCCATGGATTAACTGATATGATATACAAGCCAAATACTAAATTACAATTTTTGAACAAATCATAAATCTTCCTTCTTTCTTCGATCAAGTTCAAGACAAAAAAAAATTACCCTAATTCTGCGAGATCGACGAGAGAGCTTCTTCACTCCCAACGAGAAGCCGCGACGCCTCCCTTCTGTACCAAGACGACTTCTTCCTTCTCCCCCGGTCACACGTCTTCATCCTTCTCCTACCCAACGGCAGAAAGTGAGAGGTACGACTATTGTAACACCCCACCTTACTAGGTAAATCAGAGTAGCGCATTTATTCGCAAAGTC